CAATAGTTTGATGGCTCAAGTAATTTGGTTCAGAGAATTGTATTTAGCGGTGAAGATACCTGTGATTAAATTATCTTGTGTGCCTACAGCCTTTGTCATTTTCACAAAATGAAAAAACCATGGTTATTCGTGGACCGTGGACCATGGACATTTTAGTAATGAATATTTAGAAACACGTTACTCTAGTAACGGGTATTTACAACCATCTTTAAACCATTGAATTCAGCCAGCCGTAATTTTCGTCCACGCGAGAACCACACGGTTGTGTGGCGGACGAAAGTCTCTGGTGATATTTAGTATTGTGGAGGTCCTACTTTTCAGCGATCACATTTAGCTTATACCATCGTGTCTCTTATCTAACCTTGCGCAAACTACACCAATGATAACCCCAGTCTTTGTGCGTGAGTTAGACCCTGTAAATATACTATCATGCTTCTTTATGCTCTTTGGAATAGACTTTGACGGCAGAGTTTCGTTACAACATCGTGTAAACGAGGTTAAAACGCCAAAATATTCTCAATTAATTGTAGAGCCAAAGTGTTCGGCAGTGTGCACAAGGGAATACAATCCTGTAACTGGTTCAGACGGCAAGACATATGGTAACCCGTGTGTGTTCAAATACGCCCAATGTAAAAGTGACGGGAAAATTAATTTGGCGAGTCATAAATAGTAAGATATCTCTGAATTTTAGATATTTCGACATGTCCATCACCGATGTTTGTGGCAATATGTTCGATGTTCTCGAAAATATTCGTCACTTCTGCTTAAACTCTCGACAATATTCATCACTTCTGCTTAAACTCCAGAAAAAACTTTATCCCAAACTATAGTTGCGGCCAACAAAGAAGATTTTACAGTGTACTTTTGTTTCCATGCACTTGCCATGTAATGAATTTTTTAATATGTTTATGTCATACTATTCACTATTTTATAGGCCTAGAAGGGAATAACGAACGAAGAGATACTGTCATCCATAGTGTAGCGTGTTTGTTGTTCCAATAACTGCCAGTCAGTAAATTCTTTTCAAAATATCAACGATAATACTGTAAGAATGTCTTCTGTATATTGTGTCATAACCTCTCAATTATTTTTGCAAATAAATGTTTCAGTCCTTAACATTTGTTCTGTTTTCACATTTTGGGCTCTTTGTTCATGCCTCAATTGAAGTCTTGCATTAAGGCCTATGCCATGTCGCCCGCGTTTTATTGTTTCATTGCGTTTCATTGTTTTGCCTTTTGTCCTCCTTTATGCTTTTCTCGCATAATCATTTCAAGTCATCATGGGAAAGTTTAAAAAATGAAGCTCATAGGAACACCTCCAACGAATCTCCAGAACGAGCAGAATTTTAGTCTCCAAAGAAACGAATTAAATGATTGCGCAAGTTTGCATTCAGGAGCGAGAAAATCGAGCGAGATCAGTGTTTATTTAATTCAATGAGTGAGAAAAATCATCTTAGATTGACTCTTGACTAAGACTCTTTAACTACATTTTGAATGGTTAAACCCCAGTTAACTGAGAAATGCTGTCCTTAACTGCAGTTTATCAAAGCTATAACTATAGTGTTTTATACAACTTCCGCCATTTTGCTTTTTCTTTGGTTTTGCTACACACCGTATAATTATGAGCTGATATACGGTGGGTAGCTCGACCAATCAGATTGCGGAATAGTTCTTACACAGTGAGTAGCTATATTATAAATTATCATAATTGTAGCCTGACCGCGGGACGATATTATGCTGATTTGCTATATTCAGATTCGGAAACGGCAGGAAAACGCTGGAAAAGCCGGTAGTAGGGTCATTAACGAAAATTAGTTATGCATGATTAGTTTTGCAGTCTGTTTGGCACAGTACTTGAACGCAAGCTATAATATAGGTATTTGAAAAATTTACACAGAAATATACAGAAATTGAGCACGACATGGTAGTTTCAATAATTTTTTAGTATTTGCTTGCAAACCTTTCCATCTTTATGTATTATTGAGTATTGTACTTTTTTGTGTATTTGCCAACCATTAATGCGGCAATAAGTTAAAACGCCTAGCAATGATGTGGTACCTCTCATATTATAATAGAGCAAGACGACCTATACTGTTAGTATGTGTTAGTCTAACAGCGGTCAAACGAGAAGTTCTATATAAGCAAATACTCATTTGAATTCATTGCCTTTAACGACAGAAATATCTGTCAAGAATAATATATCTTTAATATACGAGTTTGGATCTATTGTGTTTAATTAAAATTTAGCTGCATGTCTTTGTGTGCATGTTATGATTGTTTTCTGACAGACGCAGATTCGGTGGGTATGGGATTCTTTGCCGACAATCACGTGCAGAGATAGCGACAACATAACATAAGCGTGATAACATAAATATAAGGAACTCGGGAGATCCAAAAGACACTGACATTGTACGCAACAAGTTCTAATTATTTTTGACGAGAACCAGCATGCATGCATACGTCTCATTTGCAATTATTATACATCTAACCAATCACAATAAAGAACTTTTGTTTTCTTTATTTACATATGAACTGAATGCACCATCGCATACGTCTTTCGCATGCCAACAATCAACTATTTACACGTAGCAAATCTCAAGCTGTATATCACATATCTCATATTATATCTTTCCTTCAAAAATTATGGATGGTGTTAAAGAATATATAATATCCAAGAGATTTAGCATCTTATCCTACATATGTGTGGTCAATGGTCATCCATTTCCACTGTGGAGTGATATTTACTGCAATTACAACGTCTCTCAGACTTAGCGAGATGGAAAGGTTCAATTAGTTAACATGCACAACTTAACGTTAACGTACGAATACTCAGTTATGCTAATAGTAATTGGGCCGCCAAGCACTAATCTACATATGTGAACAAACTTTGTGATTTGTCATTCATAACAATAAAGGACAATGAAGTATGGAAATTGACCTTGCCCATTTTCTATACTCACGCAAATACTATTCATGCATAATACGTTTTAAATCATATCAACCGCGGTTATGGCAGACGATTTACATGTGATTGCAATCACTCTGCAGTGTTTAGCAAATGTAGGTAACATTTTATTCTCCGTGCATACACCTGTGTTGAGTGCAGGCAACGAATTGGTAGAAGAAAGCTATGTCACGTCGAGTGAGGAGAGAGACCATAGACTGTTAACCGCGAGTCTATTACTTGAAAGCTTTTTCAGATTACTATTCCTGACGTCAGTATGCTCTCAAGCAAACATCCCAAGAGTACGTATGGGAAGAGTATTGTTTCCGGATTTTGTGCGTTCGGCGTTCAGTGGTCGCAATGTCTTTAATGAACTACGGCGATGTGAGCCATTTTCAATTCCCAGAGGTGCTTATCTATTGCGCTTTAGAGCTGTATTAATGTTTTGCATATTTAAGTGGTTGCTTTTTTTTGGGACACCCTGTATGTTTGAAAAATTCATGATTTGTCGTTTCGACCAATAGGCAAGCGAGCTGATGCCAGTTTAAACGCGTATAACGTTGAGTTAATGAGGCTGTTCGTACGCTTTCGTTCAGTTGTGCATGTTAACTATTAGTTAACATGCACCGAAGGACTTATAACCTCATTAACGAACGAAACTTACGTTAAGATCATTGTTCCCTATTGGCTGGGACTGCCAAATTCGTTCGTTACCGTAAAATGCCAGGCCCTCATCGGTTGAACGTTTAGTGTCAGGTATGATATATTCATAATCGAAAATAAGTTTGCAGTTCTGTTTTGCATAAGTTCTTTCAACGCAAGTTGAATGCTTAAAATATATTCTAATCTTAAAACGCCTTTATGCCTAGTTTACACTTGTCTGGGATTCCCTTTGGGCTTTGTCCTCAGACAAGGTTGACCGCTGGTGTGCAAAATGCTTTTCTGAGACTATCGGAAAGTAATACGATGGATCCTCGATTCTTAGGAGCCAGTGTGATCCAGGCCTTACACTGATCGATCATTGTATATAGCTTATGCGTGTGCGTTCAAGTTCGTTTGACGTTATGTAGACCCTAGGGTTCGCTCGACTTCGTGGATTACCCTGCGTCCTCTCATTGAGGGCATGCAGTAAGACTTTTAGTTCTATACTAGAAGTTCGTCTATTCTCGCGGCTTGGTAATTTCGACTAAATAAATGTTTGTTTGTAAAAGACTGCTTTATATTTCCATATTTATTGTGCTGAGAGAGCATGTCCCAAAGGACTAATAGTCTTGATTTATCTTATGACATGAAAATTTACACCGGCGTTGCGTGCGAGTTATAATTGTTTTCTAACATTTCACAATGTTGTGCTTGTTTCGCGACCATCATATAAAAATTAATAGTGTCAGGTGCAGGTATATTGGATGCTTTTTCGACAATCCTATGCTACAAAATTTATGGAAAATACCGAAAGTATAACGAATTTTGAAAACATTGCAATCGACTATTTACTTTTAACGAGCGTCGACGTGCTTACGTGCGTACGTCGTCTCATTTGCGATTATTATACGTCTGGCCGGTCGCGGTTGGGGCTTTTACGTTCGTACGTTTGCGTGGCTGAGTATGACGTCGCTTACGGTCTTCGGTGCGTGTTGGCTATTGTGCTGTTGGCGCAAGATATGCAACTCACAAAAGTTATGTCGAGAAAACGTGTTTTCAAGCTACGATAACGAGTACAACTCTCCCGTGAAATTCTCCGCCTTCGTTCTGTTCAATTTTGGTTCTGTTGTTGTTGTGAGTGTCGTTTATTCGCTTGCTGTTGGCAATCGTATCGAAGATGCAGTAAAACTCTCAAGTAGACGTGATGAACCTCAAACAGTCGGCAAGAGAGTGAACAATAAACAAGGTAGAAATACCTTTTATGTTTTCAATTTCTATTTATTCCACCTTGTAGCTCGTTCAATGCTCTGTATCTTATTCACAATCCTTCAGCATACTGTATTATATCCGAGTGGTTATGATTCTCAATTCAGTTGTGTTTAATTTATCGCGAATTGAGATCAGTCGATCCCAACATGACTCCAGCAAATAATGGAAGTGCCAACTTATCTAGTGTAAAATGTACGAACTCGGCTGCCAAGGATAAACAGTTTTGGTTGACAATCGTGTCTGTTTGTAATGGCATTTTTGCTGTAACTGCATTAGCAGAAGTTGTTTATCTACTGAAGAAGCGATTTTTCCGTCTCACCCCTCAATCGTCTACATGGTCTTGTGATTTGCGATTTATTAATGAACATTTTCTTCAAAAGCGATACGTACCTAACAGTTGTGACATTTACAAGCAAAAGGTCATGAAGTTTTTTCTTCAGACATAAATTACGGTTCAAATAATACAAGCTTAGATATGATGTTTATCGATGTTGTTATCCACTCGGGGCAAGCACCACTTAAATTTTCGAAAGATATGACTAGGCATGAAATCTATGATGTTTATATGAAAGTTCCTGAAAAGTCGATACATCTGAGACAGATTAAAGATCTGTTTTATGCAAACAAAGATACTAACTATAATATCCCTTCCACCATCTTGGTGATTGGACGTCCTGGGATCGGAAAAACTGTTTTGACCAGGAAAATTATGTACGATTGGGCAAAAGATGATGATAAAATTTATCACAATAGGGTCGCTTTCTACTTTAAATTCCGAGAATTCAATTTCCCTGAGATGGAAGTCATAACGATTAAAAAATTTCTACAGTTTGGAACCGAACTAAATGAAGATGAGTTTGAAGGTGTTTTTGAAAAAATTTGGGAAAATCCACAAAATGCCATTTTCATTTTTGATGGCTTGGATGAATTTGGCGCCGCTGTAAAAAACATTCAGTATGTCCTAGCTCAGTCGCAGAAGTATTCTAGCAATGATGTTTCTTGCCAAATGTCAGCAATGTCTCTTTTTGTCAAAATCTTGTCGGGCGATATGTTACCAGGAGCAACAGTTTTGGTGACCAGCAGGCCAATTGTTAATGATGTTTTGTGCAAACTTCATTTTGGAAGAACTGTTGAAATTATCGGCTTCACATCTGATAAAATAGAGCAGTATGTAAAACAGTTCTGCGCTAATCATAACAGGTGTGATCTAGAAGCAACAATGCTGAGTCATATCAAATCATCTTCTGAAGTGAAGAATTTATGCTACATTCCAGTGAATTGTTTTATTGTTTGTGTTACTCTGTTCAAATGTCTCATTGACTCAGAGGGTGATACTGGTGCTCTACCAACTACTTTGACTGAACTGCACCAGTTGGCCTTAGTGTACTTTAATACGCATCATGACCGAAATCAAAGCAAAGAAGTTTTAAAGCAACTTCAACAGTTGGCTTTCAATGGTATGAAAAATGATGAACTGATTTTCAGTGGCGAACTAGTCGATGAGAAAATGAAAGATTCAGGATTACTAAACTTTTTACCTAATCCAATTTTTCAAATTCAAATACAAGTTTGCTTTATTCATTTAACTATACAAGAATTTCTCGTAGCGAAGCATATAGTGGAAACAAAAACACCTGAAGATATAAAAGAATTTATATCTTCGCAATTCAAGCATGGCAGATGGCATCTAGTGCTTCAATTTCTTGCTGGATTATTGGCAGTGAAAATTAGAACATCTGATGACTCTCATGAATATAGAAGCTGTATGTGGTCGTTCAAGAAATATCTTGAGATTCAAGGCACTAGGTGCGAAATTCGACCAAATCATATTTTGGTGATGAAATGTTTGAGAGAAGCGCAGAATGAAAATATTGCCAGAGAAATTGCGACATCTATTTTGAAAGATGTGACTGAGATATCATGTCCCTACCATGAAGCATCATTGCTTTCTTCGAGCGATGTAACAGCAGTTGTGTTTCTTTGCAAGCATATGAAGATTTTAAATAGTTTAGATGTGAAGTATTTATCCAGTTTGGATTGTTCGTTGGAATTGTTGAAATTACTCCAAGGAAGATGCATGAAATCACTCAACATTGTTGGTTGTCATCTTGGTGACTTGGGTCTAGAGCGTCTTGGTGCATTATTGAAATCTGGATGTCTGGTGAATCATGAGTATTCCATAAGTCACCACGTTGAATCTTGGACGAAACACTATTACTGCTGCTGGTATAGCTGGTGTTTTAGATAATCAGATTTATAATCAGTTGACAGATCTTGACCTTAGCTAAAATCCTATTCGTGATGATGGTGTTCGTATTCTATCTATCTCAATGCAAGAAAGGCGGTTGAACCTTGAAACCTTAAATCTTGCCTCCTGTTCTCTGACTATTGAGAGCGTACCTTGGCTCGTGAAATTTCTGAGAAATTAACATTGTGGACTAAGAACCTTGAAGCTCAGTAGCAATGATATAAAAAATGAAGGTTTATTTGTCTTGTGCAATGTTCTTGGAAATGAAATATGCAACCTAACTGAGTTGACTCTTTCCAGCTGTTCTCTAACTGAAAAATGCATGTCTGCGTTGTGCCGCGCTCTTGATGAAGAACATCGTGGATTAAAAACATTAAACCTTAGTAGCAATGATATTAAGGATGAAGGTTTAGACATCTTGTGCAATGTTATTGGAAAGGAAACATGTAACCTAACAGAGTTGCATCTTTCCGGCTGTTTTTTAACGAGAAACTGTATGTCCACGTTGATCCACGCTCTTCATGAAGAACATTGCACGCTAGAAGTATTGAACCTTGGATTCAACGATTTAGGTGATGAAAGTGTACGTGAATTGTGCGATGTTCTTCAGACAAGAACATGACTGTCATCTTACAAGGCTGACGATTTCCGGTTGTTCTTTAACAGACAAATGTGTTCCGATCTTGTGCAAAGCTCTCGGAGATGAGGGATGTAAGCTCACTCATTTGGATGTAAGTAACAATGGATTCAAGGATAAACATTTACCATTACTTGCAAGCACTCTTGGACTTCGAAGTTGTTGTCTTCGTCGTTTGAATATTGGGAGAAATAAGATCACTGAAGAAGGTGTGAGGTTGCTTAAAGAGACCTTAGGAACACGTTTAGACATCGTGGTTTAATGTTAAGCTGGGATGCACCAGTATCTCTATGGAACCCCTCAATTCCATCTTCCACAAGTCCATCAAACAGTGCACCCCACCCTTTCGATCTCGAATACGATCCTGGAAGCGCACCAGGTCTTGCACAATTTCAGACTAAGACAGCCCGTGATCCCCTTCTCCACAGTTCACATTAGCAACAGCAAATTCCAGCAGAGGTAAGAAGAAGATCACCAAAGATTTCTCCTAAAAGACTAACGCATCATCATCCCCACCTAATTACGCCCTGTAATGAAGGAAATAATCCACCGGAGTCACAACGAAAGAGCCAGATGCCAAATCCGTGCTCAACAACCTATATATTGGCTAGGTATAAATCCGAATCCACGACATGGTCTCCCGCTGCTCGCAATGCCTGACGCAACCAGCAAAATAAAGACACTCATTCAACACAATGTACCGAAAGAACCCTGGACGAAAGTAGCATCAGACGTGTTTATTCTGCACAGACATCACTATGCAGTGGCGTAGCCAGCCTGACGATTTTGTCCCGCTATGTAAATTTTGAGTCATTATTAAGACATGAATTATTCATGTCTTTAGAAGTGTAGTGTTTTCACATTCAATGAAAACCAAAATATTAGCATAGCGGGACAAATAAACAGGGTGGCTACGCTACTGTCACTATGTTATCATCACTGACTACACCTCAAAATATATCGAGATCTGCAAGATATCGCTGAACAAGAATCACTAACGTTTACTAAACTTTCTTTGGTGTGGAGAAGTTATGTTATTCTGAACACATCTTCGTCGTCTATGTGTTATAGTCGTCTTGTAATATAATGTATGTGTTTTATGGTTAGTGCGTCTTTTGGCGCCAAATAAAAACTTTTCATATTGTGTACATGGGCGTATAGAACACCCATAGCCCTTGCCGCATTCAATAGTTTGGTAATAAGATCCTCCCTGAGAGCTTTCCTTTGCAAACGTTCCGAAAAACATTTCTGAACTGTTTGATCCCTTATCTATCAGTTTTTATCACGAAAATCAAAACGGTCAGCGGCTTCACGTAGGCGTATGATAAATTTGTGAATTTGTCTGGGTGAGCCACCATTTCCTGCGCCAATTGCCAAAAATTATATATGTTTCGAAAGTTACATTATTTTACCCTGGGTTCAAAATGTGCCTACAGTTTTGCTTTAACTTGTTCATACTCCTGGTCATCCTATGAGGTTAAGGAGATAATTTTTCACCTGCATAGTGCAGAAGTACAGCATTTAGTCGAGCCTGGCAGCTGATCTGGGTATAAAAATCAACCAATGAGAAGCCATGCAAATCTTCGACAAAACTGAATTATCATTCCCTTCATTTCATATGACTTCGACCCTCGAAAATATCAAGTAATTTTGTTATAATTATTTATGCGAAAACACGTTTAATTTTTTCAAACTGTAATTTAAAATTTGAAATTTTCGCCTTTTATACTATTAGTTAGAAGAATAGGGACAAATAACACCACGCGCATGATAACTCAGTTTTTTCGAGACGCTTTATGACGTCATGATCTCAGATCAGCAGGTTGTCTTTGATATCTATCCACAAACAAATTTTCTAATCACAAAACACACTTGTGATTTACGCTTTCAAAAATCTTTTTTGAAGTTAAAGCGATGGTGTAAAAGCCTTTCATAGCCGACTATGTATTATAGGAAAACGACGTGTCAAGATCATATATAAATAAACTGCATCCTCATACAGCAAACACAGAATGAAACAACTATACTATAGACACATACTGGCTTAAAATATTTCAAAGCTTTATATAGTTAACCAGGGGTGTAACTTGGATCATGTGAGAGCGGGGGTAGTTTTCAAAGCTGTGGCCAAGTGAAGTCACTTTTTTAGGCCAAGTGAGGTCATCTGGCTTAAATTTCCGTTGCGCCAGTTTTCTTTTTTTGAAAGTAAATCGCCCGTGTGGATTGACCTTAATACAATGTGTCATCTCATTCGTAATATCTATATACCTGTTAAAACAACCCCTTTTTTGTATGATTCTATCCGCGGGATCGTCGGGGCCGTATGAGGGACAGCTCAGATAATATCAATACAATTTCCTTCTCTTTTCTTATATATTTATTTTGTTGTCGTGCCCCAGCCCAAGTCATCAACCTTCTCTCTTAACCTTCTCTCTTAACCAGTGCAACCCGTGATATTTTATACTCTAAACTATAGTGCGTTATTGTGCATTGTTCATTGTTCATTGTGCATAGTGCAAAGTGCAAAGTGTTGTCATTTCCATGTGTCCATCACGTGCGAAACCCTTGGGTGCATATAACAACAATTTCCCTTATATTACATATCTCTCCCCTTTAGATGAAAACCTCCTGGTTTTCGGTTAGGCCAAAACGTAAGCATTTTTCTTGTATTCATTGCAATACAAGGTTAAACAATTATAGTTAGCTCCTCGTTGACGGTTCGTTTATCATAATCATATTGTTCTTTCTCTTGTCCATCTTTTCTTCTCTTGTAATTGCGTTTTTTTTTATTGACGGCAGTAAGCTTCTCTGTTGGACGTTGCCACGCGATGATAATTTTGTGTTGTCAAGTTTATGCAATTAGCGACTATACTAGCTGTACTCACTTTTACTAGCGTTGGAAATTTGACATGAACCAAGAATAGGAAGGATGTCGTGCCAAGGAATTTACAAAGACACAACGTATCGTAACAAAACATAACATAACATAAAGAGTGCAATTTGTGACAAAATAACATACAATACAATGCCTAGATCTAGCTCAACATGACGTTAACAAAGCACAGTTCCATGCAAGTACGAAATAAAACGCAATTTGACTTCAGCCACAGGCACAATGTGTGCAGGAGGGTTGGGAACAACAGTAGTCAAATTGTCCATTGTTTCATCTGCTTCGGCCGAAATGGTAATTAGAAACAACGCAGGGACTACGAAATCGAAAGTCTAAACCATAAAACTATAATTATCGGTCAGTTAGAGGTACAGTCTGTGTTTTCAGTGTTTGTCATGACCATGTCTGTCTCATCAATCCATGAATTGTGTGTAGGGCTGTAACCTTCCCATTTGACGAAAAATTGTTTCTTACCTTTTCGAGTGCGTGTTTTAAGAATTCGCTCTATATTGTAAACAGGTTCATGCACCTTAGCTGCTGTATTGTCCGTAGACTGCTGTGGCGCGGGTATTGTTTTCGTTTTGCTGGTTGTGATGGGGTAGTTCGTTCTCGGGAATTGGTGGGTCGGTTGGCACATCCGGATTGGGAGGGTTTTGAGGACGTGAATCTGGGTCATAGTACGGTTTCATTCTGTTGGCATGTACTGTAACGGACACGAGGCGGTTATCACAGGTTCTTAGTTTGAAGTGTACTGGAGAGCATTTTGCGACAATGCGGAATGGCCCGTGCCAATGGTGCATAAGTTTTCGCGACAAGCCTTTCTTGGTTTTGGGCGTGTACACCCATACTCTATCACCGATTGCAAAGGTCGGTTCGCGAGCGGACTGATCATATACAGTTTTCATGGCTTGCTGAGCGCGTTGAATATTCGTACGAGCTATTTCCTGCGCTTCTTCGATTGCTTCGACGATACGCGCGCGATGCTCGTGTATGGATCTCGTCTCGTTACGCGAAGGGAGGAGAGTGACGTCCATAGGTAGCCTAGCTTCTCGACCGTAGAGGAGGTAAAAGGGACTTTCTCCAGTTGTGTCGTGAGGGCTAACACGATATCCGAAAAGGATAGCAGGGATATGTAAGTCCCAGTCTTTCTGGTTGCGGCTGACGTACATGGATATTGACTGGCACAAGGTGTGATTAAAGCGCTCAACCATGCCGTCCGTTTGAGGATGATATGCTGTTGTGTTGACTTTTTTCGTATTAAGTAGGTCGCAAACGGAGCGAACCAGTGATGATAGGAAGTTTGTACCGCGATCGGACAGAAGGGTGCGCGGTGCACCATGCCTAGCCAAGATCTCGTCCACAAGAAGGTTGGCGATAGTCGGAGCATCGATTTTTGGGACCGCAAATGCTTCAGGCCAGCGTGTCAAGTATTCTGTGAATACAACAACGTATCGGTTACCAGTATTCGAAACAGGGAATGGTCCTAAGCAGTCGACAGCCAACCGGTCAAAGGCGTTTTCTACCGGAATTGGTAAGAGAGGGGCCTTGTGGCGGTTTCTAGGAGATTTTTTCATGGCGCAATCCACACAAGTCTTACACCACCGATCAATATCACTGTACATGTTGCGCCAGTAGTATCGAGTGCGGAGTTTGGCGTAGGTCTTTTGAGTACCCAGATGGCCTGCAGTAACATCATCATGTGCCCAGATTAAAATCTCGGATTTCAGAGCATCAGGGATAACTAAGCGAGAACATACGTCTTGACGTCTACGTTTATTGGGAGTCCACAACGAAAAGAGCAGGTCATGTTCGTCCAGGTAAAATGTGTCACGGTGCAACACAAGGGAACGAGCGCGGTTTTGGTTCGCTGGGAGGTGATCATTTTCTAAGTAGGCAATGAGATCAGCAAGCTCTACATCACTGCGTTGGAGACGACGAATTCGTGCGATTGGTACGCCCGGTAGATCATATGCACTAATGGTCGGCGGTATTTTATAAGGACGACGAGAAAGAGCATCAGCATCCGAGTTCATCTTACCTGGTTTGTGCACGATAGTAAAATTATATTGTTGGATAAGAAGAGCCCAACGCGCAAGTCGACCATTTGGATTCTTTAAGGACATTAACCAGCGCAGCGAATGATGATCTGTGTAGATTGTGAATTTGCGGTCGTCAAGATAGTTCCTGAATTTTTTTATGCCTTCTATAATCGCTAGAGCTTCACGCTCGGTGGTAGTGTAATTACGTTCGGCAGGGTTTAGATCACGCCCGCCATATGCTATTGCGCGGTTTAACCCTTCTTGCACTTGACACAGCGCATAGCCAATACCGGTTGAAGAGGCGTCGGTGTGGAGCTCAAAGGGGAGCGAAAA